TTCAGAGACAATCTGATGTCATGAGTACCAAAACCACTTATAATGACAATCCATGGATTTTGAAAATCAATTAATACAATTGGGTTCGAAGTGAGTTATTGTTGGAGATTCTCAATACGGAGTTAAAAGCTGAAACTTTCACAATTTTACAGTCAAATTCAATTTTATCTTCTTCCTCTGTAGAAGGTTTGCATCCTCTGTTACTCCCTTATACCTTTTTAATCCAAGAGAAGGGTGGGTGATGAGTTCAGAATTCCCATGGTCAATAATTCCTTTCCCTCAAGGTCCAATATTCACCCGATCAGTTAATTTATTCGAGATCCGGAACATGAATGGGAATCAGACTAGAATATAATTCCTCTCATGATTCATTCACGTATGAGATTTATAATAAGAGTCTACAATACTTTGACTAATAACAGTATTTGATATTTTATAACTGTTCAAGTGTTATCGTAATTTACTAGATTACGTAAATAAGATAACTTGATCTCTCAGGCTGAAGTGATCAATTTTCATTCGAAACTACCTGCATGTCTGCCAACTTCTGACTCTCAGAAAATTCTGACCGCTTTTTGAAAAAAAAGCCACATCTCCTATGTTTCCATGATGTGGGGTGAGTGATAAGTTCCAGACCTCCTAGCGCATCCACACAGCTGCATGGTCTCTGGCTATCATGAGATCACTTTGGCTTGGAGGAGGGCCCTGTAAACCCACCTAATCTACTAATGAATGTAATTTGATTTAAAAAGTTTATTGAGAATTTGGTCAGGTTTTGATGTGAGCACACAAGCTGCAAGCTGGACATGGGCAGAACTACTGCATGGGAGTGGTTAGACACTCCATGGTCAGCCAAAGGAATTAAGTGGACACATAAAAGAGAACAGACTAGAGGTAAAGCAACTTACAGATGATGATCAATTACAACAAGAGCTTCCTCCATGTGTATGCTCGGTTTCTTGGTAGCTGTAAGATTTTTTTCAACCAGTCACTTCTACGCTTGATTAGCTGTTCATTCAAATCACCAAACTCTATTGATGTATTCTTAAGTGCAAGGAATATCCCTCGAAGCAATGGCCGTTCACTATCTGTGAGAACCCAACATTAGATGCTAAAGTTAAAGACAAACATTGATCAGACCACCAGATTTCTGACTGTGGAAATCTGGTGCTTGGACAGGCACTCTAACATGGTTTACGTGAAATGAAGTCTGCTGCGCTCTGCATAATAAGGTGATTCAAAGAGATGTTGACTGTGAACAAGGTGAAGTGCTATTTGGCAACAGCCTGTGAGGACCCACCAAGATAATTGTCTCTGCTGGTTGAGGGTGTAAGATGTGATGCTGCTTTCTCTGAGGTCTGTTGTGGTAGCACTTAGCCCTGTGATGATATGGAATTCAGTTTTTGCGCCTTGATGCTTGCATCTGTGGGTGAAAGTGCTGATTTTTTTTTTTCCTAATGCAGCTAAGTTTTCAACATGCTATCAGACTGGCTGGTGTGCGACTCACCCCCTTAATCTATGATTTCCAGTTTCTAAACCTCATCTTTACAAGGGATGCCTAGCCTACCTTTCTCACATTAGTTCTGGGTAGCAATCCATGCCGGCAATGGTGTGGAAGTAGAGAACCCTTCTTGTCTGGGCTTTCTCATCTGCAAGGATAAAAGAGACGGAGATGAGGCACTTCTGGCTTCTATGCAAATACCAGCAGCTCATTTTCTTAAAAAGCCCTAACTGCAAGCAATTCAGAAGGCAAATACTTCACTTTTATCACAAGAGGGTTTGAGTACAGGAGGAAATAAGTTGTGCCTCAATTGTGTCAAAAAATGATGAGATCAAACCTGAAGCGTTTTGTGCAATTTTGGGCCCTTTGCCTAAGAAAAGGTGTACCTGTCATAGAGGGAATCCAGCAGAGTTTCACCACACTGATTCTTGGGATTGTGGGATTTCCCTATGAAGGGAGATTGAGGAGGCCGGGCCTATATGTTCTGGACTTTTAGAATGAAAGGTGATTTCACGGAAACATATAAAATTCTGAAAGAGATAGTCAGTAGATACAGAATATTTCCCCTGGCTGTGGGGTCTTAGAATAATACACAAGCTATTTGGGACTGTGATGAGGAGTAACATCTTGTCAGAAGGTGGTGAATCTTTGGAAATCTCTACCTCAGAAGGCTGTGGAAGTTCAGTTATTAAACACATTTAAACAAATGAATAGTTTTTTGATATTAGTGTAAGCAAGGGATCCAAGGATAATGTGGGAGAATGGCGTTGACGTGATTATAAGCCATGATCTAGGTTGATGAAGCAGGCCGAATAGCCCACTCCTGCACCTACGTTTCTGTGCATCAGTGCTGGTAACACTATGGGTCTGAGGCTTTGTGAGGGATGAGTAAGCACATAGAACATTATTCCTGAACTTCCAGAAATTTGTATGCGTCTTTGGGCTCCCAGCACTGTGATGTCACACTAAGCACTTACAGTTTGACAGCTGTCATTATGCCTATCGGGACCTTTAAATTTCAGAATACAGAAGCTAACTGCTTTGAAAATGGAGCATGGTTTGACAGTTCTGTGCTATGAAACTGTCAGAATGGAAGTGTGCCACTATATTCCTGAGAGGGCCCTGATTGGACTCTCCACTCAGAAATGTGGAGCTCCCTTCTTTCATAGAAAAGGGTTGAAGTAGCAATCTGTTTGAGACTGCACCCAGCAACCTGTAAAATCAATTAAGAGTGAAGGAAAGTTTGCTGATCACTGAAAAATATCATTCAATATCTTGCTGAAAAGGAATATGCAAAAACATCCAAGGTTGAATTGTCCCTTTAATAATAACATTTTCATGTACTAAATGCTAATTCTAAAATTGTTGTTGTGATCCATTACAATTACTTTTCTAATTCTTAGAGCTAAGTAGCAATTTGAATTGCTAATTACAGGAATTACACTTCAGTGTTGAGTAGTAAATCACCAGTTAAAGTAATAAATAGAATCAGAGATAGTAGGAACTGCAGATGCTGGAGAATCCGAGACAACAAGGTGCAGGGCTGGATGAACACAGCAGAGGGTTGGATTGGATTAAAATAAGTCTGCGTATGATTGGGCATCATGTTTTGAACACGTATACAATTGAAGAGGATTTGAGGCTAGGTTTAAGTTTTCCCTGTTTAAAAGATGCTTAATCAGAAACGTGCTTACATGTACCTTTAAATATTTAGAAGTTCTCTCACTTATGGAATGACTGATATTCATCACCATTAACTGTAATTCAGTCATAGGGATTTTTTAGGATTTGTGATAAATGTGAAAAAGTCTTTAAATTATGGACTGTGCTTACTATTATGCAAATGTTACTATTACACTGAATCCAGCAACCATGGTTAATTATGTTATTAGGCAAGGAACCTTGTTGGTGGCAACATTAAGGAACTGAGGGCTCAGTATAAAGCCATAGCACTCCACTGGAAAGAAAAAAAAATAATGTGGGAGCATAAGAATACATCTAGTCAATACCAGAGTTCAAGTTCTTAAGAGAGAAAGAAAGAGGACAATGAACAAGTTACACTCTGACAGAGGAAGAGCTACATAATGACCAGGAGAAAGTGTGACAGGATGGTTATTGATAGCAACTGAAACACAGAAAGTTATCATCTGAGAGGGAGTTACAGACTGAGCAAAAGAAAAGAAACAAAATAACTGTATGATGATTGACAGAGCAACATTCTGACTGAGCTAAATGCTAATTGAAAGAAATATAAAATACTTTTGATTAATTCTGTGGCTTATTATGTGTTTAGGTGCCAAGTGGAGCATTCAATTGAATTACATTAAAAAGCACACACTAACGTTTCATTGTATCCTGATTTATTTATCTCGGTTGTACTGTTGTCAGGCAATACTTTGCCCTGCTAGAGAAGACAAAGATTACTAAGATGTACAGCATGGAAACAGACACTTCAGTCCAACTTGTTTCCCAAAGGCATCCTTAAATGCTGTTATCCCATGTCATGTGATGTATGCTGCAACAAAGGCATGTCCTCAGCTCATCATCTGATGCTACATCTGAGCTATTTTTTTTGGCCATTTTTGTCAGTTGTGATTTGCTGTCATTTTCTACATCGAGGTCAGCGAGGAGGCAGGTCCAAGTCTACCTCAGCCAGAAAGGGAATTAAAACTAGACTTCTGATATTACACTGAGCCACCGGCTTAGCCTCTGAGCTAAATGTCCTCCTATATTATCTCAAGAGTACTGGAGGCCTGAGAGGAGCTATGCACCTGCTTTTTAGGCAGTTAGACAGTGCATATGGCATGAAAACAAGTCTAGAGGAGAAACGGTGAGAAAAAATAAAAAGTATTTACAAATTAGTTACAAAAGGGTGAATTAATTTTCAACTTGCTTTTGAATGTTGCCTTTGACGTTTTCTAATATTTTTCTCAGCTCATGATTTGCCATCCATTAATGTTAGTGAACACAAACTCGGCATCAAAACATGCACGATCTTACAAGCAAAGTTTCTAAACTTTGATTAGAGCCGAAAACCACAAACTGATCTCGAGTTTCAGAAAATTAGATTGTGAGAAAAGATTGAAGATACTTTGGTGCACCAACCTTAAAAGGTTGACAGGAGAACGGATAAGGGTACATAAAAGTAGTAAAATACACAAAAAATTATTTGTGAAACTCAATTCCGAAATAAATCTTGATGCTAAGATAAATAGATGTGCATTCGTTAAAGGCAAATTTAGGACTTGCGTCAGGTGGTAAGACAGCAAAAAGTGAATAACATAGAAAGAACATATGGTAATGAGGTCAAATAAGAAGCAGTTACATACGATGGTGGGAGACTAGGTATTTCTACCTGAACAAATTGCTATGGTAAAGTTAATTTTCTTGTCTATTTATCTTTTCAATGAAACAATTCTTTCCACTGACCGAATAACAGAATTTTTAATTAAGGATACTTTTCTTTAAAATTTGATTGACATTTTGTATTTAAATTCAGTTTGCAGGCCATTATAATGAACTTATTAAAATATATTGAGCTTCCAGCATCAAATAGTACCAAAGCCAGTAATCTTAAAGTCATACCTCAATAACATTTTAAAATTAAAACAATCAAAAATGAAATGACCTTTTTCAATAAAGGCTTTATGAAAGTGAGTTTTTTTTTATTCATTCATGAGATATAGGCATTGCTGGCTAGGCCAGCATTTATTACCTATCTGTAATTACCCAGAGGGAAGAGTAAACCAATTCGCAATGGATCTGGAGTCACATGTAAGCCAGACCCCAGGTAACAATGACAGCTTTCCTTTCCTAAAGGAAATTAGTGAACCAGATGGGTTCTTATGGCAATCAGTAATGATTACACAGTTGCCATGAGACTACTTTTTTGAAATTTCAGATGTTTATTGAATTCAGATTTCACCATTTGCCATGGTGAGATTCAAATCCATGTCCTCAGAACATTAGAACACTACTGGTTCTGTGACATTAACACTATGCCTAACCTATTTTCCAATTTCCTGCTGGATAAAGTGAAATATTTAAGGTATCTGTTACTCAACTAACAAAATAAACACTTTATATTCATGACCATACATAGATTTATATTTTTTCATATCCTGCCAACAATATAATGCTAATATCAGACACTGAGGTTAGAGGGTGTTCACGATGATAATTTAGTATGTTTTGTACATGCACTTGCTGATTTAGCTATAGTGATATTTTCATTTCTTGCTGGCAGGTGTTCAGCATCTCCTCATTGTTTAGAGGGTTATCAAAATTAGTTGTTATATTCTTGGCTGCTGATATTCACGCAGCTGCCCTGTTAATTTTTGCAACACTTATTGGGAATTTTAGGCTGTAATTTCAAAACAGAACACACCACTTTTTTTCTGAAACTTGATCATGATGGACTTCTTATAGGACAATACTCTTTTTTTTTCTTTAATTAAAACAAAGGACATTCGCAGTTATTCTTAATAGTGTGTTCATTAAGTCACAGGAATGTGAGTCTTCAAAACTTTGTTTCATTCACTAACCATTCATTATGAGGAAAGTCAAATATTCTCCAGTTCTTCATTGAAGAGAACACAAATGAGCAATTGGACTTGTGCCTGAAGTGGGTGCTAGGCATTACTTTGAATTGAAATGTCAAGCTGCTGGCACTGACTAGAGCTGTTGGTCTGTGACACGGATAATATAGGTAGGTCCTGTCCTTATAATGCCTTCAGATAAAGGAGCAGAATTAGGCTATTTGACCCATCGAGTCTGCTCTACCTTTCAATCATGGCTGATATGTTTCTCAAACCCATTTTCCAGCATCCTGCCTGTAACCTTTGATCCCCTTACAAATCAAGAAAACTATCTTTGTCTTAAATGCACTCAATGACTTGGCACACACAGCCCTCTATGGCAATAAGTTCCACAAATCAACCACTCTCTGGCTGAAGCAATTCCTCCTCACCTCCGTTCTAAAGGATCGCCTCTTCACTCTGAGTCTGTGCCCTTGGATCCTAGTCTCTCCTACTGGCAGAAACATCTTGTCCGTGTGCACTCTATCTAGGCCTCTCGGTATTCTGTAAGTTTCAATGAAATTCCACCCCTACCTCCCCCAATCCTTCTAAACTCCATAAACTAAATTTCTAAACCCACAGTCCTGATCCACTGCACTCCCGCCTCATATCACAAGCCCTTCAACTCTAGGATCTTACTTGTAAATCTCCTCTGGACCCCCTCCAAGGCTAGCTTACTTCGATATTTAGCCCAAAACCGCTCATAATATTCCAAATACGGTCTGACCAGAGCCTTCCAGAGTGTCGGCAGTACATTCCTGCTGATGTATTCTAGCCCTCTTGGAATGAATGCTATTGCTTTCCCAACTGCGAACTGAACCTGCATGTTAACCTTAAGAGAATCCTGAACTAGGAATCCTGAGTCCCTTTGTGCTTCAGATTTCTGAAGCCTTTCCCTATTTAGAAAATAGTCTATGCCCATATTCTTACTATCAAAGTGCATAAGCTCATATTTCCCCACATTGTATTCCATCTACCCACTCACCTAGCCTGTCCAAGTCCTTCTGTAGCCTTCCTACTTCCTTGAAAATACCTGGCCCTCCATATATCATTGTGTCATTCTCAAACTTAGCAATAATGCCCTTAGTTCCTTTGTTGGTGTGGTTAGGTGTTTAGCATGGGAGGAAAAGCAAGCTGGAAGCTAGTGGTGTGATGTGATGTGTGAGCACAAGGAATTAGCTATCAGCAGTAATGCAATGAACCAGGAGCACTCCTCCTGGTTCACATTCCAATAAGGAGGAAAGAAATTTGAAGCTTTCTAAATGTCTTAAAAGCTTAGTTGTTTGACCTGGAGTCAAATACCATTGCATTAGGTAATTAGCTATGCTGATAACAATTTCAGCTGGATTATTAATGTATCGCCAATAATTTTTTGCATATTTGCTAATGTATTCTTGTGCACTGGGACATACTTTCAGGTTAGGAAAGATAAATTATCTGTTTTTTGCATGAAAATTCATTCACCATTATTCAGCTCATTGGTTTGATTTGCTCAAGTCTATTTTGATGATAAATCTCTTGTATGGTAGTCAAACAGTTTGGTACAATTGGCATTTGTTTTTGCTATTATTAAAGGCATTCTTGTTCGATGATGAGCATTAACATTAGATGGCCCAATGCAATTGTCTATCTCCACTCCAAATGCTATTTCCATTCATCGATGCTTCTGATTTTTATTGCCGGTTTTAAATCTAGCTATTAATTTTGAGATTTAATCATCTCTAAAAGCTTCACAGATTTAATATCAATTAGCTAGTGAATAGCCAAGTAAGTTATATAACCTGAGCCATCTCCAACTAAAGAAAAAAACCACTTGCCTTTATATAATGCCGTTCATGTCCTTGAGATGCTTCAAAGCACTTCAGTGCAAATCAGCTTAATTCCGCAGAATTTTTTTTAGGTTTTAACATATAACCCGCAGCTTTTAGAATTGTCCAGACATTGCATTAAGACTGAAATGAGCAAGAATTTCTTCTCTTGGAGGGTTGAGAGTCTTTGACTCTCTGTGACAAGGAGTTCTGTTGTGCATGTTTAAAGCTGAGGGAGATTCTTGATCAATTGGGGAATCAAGCGTTGTGGGTATCTTTCTATGGATGTTGGGAGCAGACCATTTGTCTTTTTATGCCAAGAGAGACAATGTGGCAAAAAAAAATTGGTATGTACATAGTGCCTTTCATGAGCGCTGGATGTCCCAAATGCCTTAACACTAATTAAGCACTCCTTTGAAGTATTGTCGTTGTTAGAGGAAACATGCATTCATCCTGCAGACAGCACAATTACACAACAATGAAATATGGCCAGATAATCTGTTTGTAATGTTGGCTGATGGATAAGTATTGACCAGGACAGGAGAGGATGGAAAACTTGCGTTACTTCAAAATAGTTTCCTGTGTCCTATTGCATTATGTAAGATTGCAGATGGGCCCTCAGTGTAACATCTCAAGTGAAAGGTAGCATCTCCAACAATAAGGCATTTCCTCCGTCTTGCATTGGAATGTCATCTTAAATTTTGTGTGCCAACGTCTGCGGGGATCCTTGAAGCTATGTTCTCTCTAATGTCACCAGCTGCTGCATGGACTTCCAAGGTTAGTGCATGGCTGCAGGTGGAGAAACCAGAGATGAATGTGTCTGCACAGTATGGGCATGTGTATCAGAGTGCATGGGCTGCAGAGCAGTGGCCGCACAGCTCAGAGCAAGCGTGACTTGAACCCACAATCATCTGATTCATGACAGTGTTACCAAGTACTGTCAAAAGGATGTCTACATAAAGATGATATAATAAAAGCAGCCTATTTTACAGAAGAAAATTAAACTTCGGTATTTTGAAAACAATCTTCCCAAACTGTAGAAACATCATCAGGAAACTTACGCCAGGGAGAAAAATTGACAAAATCGTGACTAGAGTTTATTGTCTAAGTTGTTTGGAAATGTGCAGAATTTGTTCATAGCAAGTAATCCTGATCTCTTGCTTAAAATAAGTGATATGACCGTTCACAAATTTTATCAGCCTTGCAAACCTGCCTACTTTAGTGTGGCTCAAAGGAAATTAAAGTTACTGACTGTGGTCTGGAAGCATAACATAAGACTGGGGTAGCCATTAGTAACAAATGAATTGGAATGATACTAATCCCTCGAGATAATTGAAGCCTTTTTTGTTTTCAGAGCTCTTTCCAAAAAGAGGAGGAAGAAAACGTTCATGTCGATAGCTTCATCACAGCCTAAAATATTTGTACAATACATAGCACACATTAATGTCACCTTGGATTAATTCCTGACCAGCAAGTATCATGTTCTATAACCATCGAAATTACTTAGAATAACCAGCTGCAGGTATCCAGTAATTTCACTGGAAAAGTATTTGTTACATTTAATTTTGATTTCTGATGTGCTTTTATACCTGAACTTCAAATCCAACTGCATGCACAATATCGAAATTAATTAGTGTCTCCTAAAAATTGGCAGATTTGGAGTTGATTCATTAATGTTAAAAAGTTGGCAGTGGTGTACTTAGATCAACTTTGATCACAATTTTGTGGAATTAATTTAATCTTATGAATATGGTACAATTCAAGCTTCTCCAAGTAGCTATAAACATGTTAATGCTTCAAGATCTAAATGCATTATACCATACTGAGATATACAGCTCAGGAAATTTTATTTCTGGTCTGCGTTGACTTGGCTCCTGTCAGTCAGGATCATGTTACAAGTGTTACTGTTAGCTTCACATTCCATGATCTAAGAGGAAGTGTATTTGCAAGAAACCAGTTGAAGATTGTTGGTCATCCTTTGAGAAGCCCATCTGTCTTGCCAGGTATGGACAACGTTAGAAGCACATTGTCATATGGATGTCGGAAAAAGAGTGCAAAGGCCATATTCTGAAGTTGTAGAACTAAATATAGAGCTCTAGGGCTGTAAAGTGCCAGCAGAAAAGAAGTGTTGTTCCTTCAGCTTTGTATTGAGCTTCGTTGGCACACAGTAACAGGCCAAGGG